AAAGATTGATCTAAAGAGAACTTACAACCTCGTGCGAATCAAAGAAGGAGACGAATGGAAGACAGCTTTCCGTACAAGTTATGGCCATTTTGAATATAATGTCATGCCTTTTGGTCTTACGAATGCTCCGGTGATCTTTCAACACATGAAAAATGACATCTTTTGGGAGCACCTTGATGATTTTGTTGTCATCTATCTAGATGATATTTTGATATTTTTTAAGAACGTAGAAGAGCATGAGAATCACGTTCATGTGGTCCTTGAAAAACTCCACAAGTAAGGACTTTATGCCAAATTAGAAAAATGCTTGTTTAACCAAACTGAGATGGAATTTTTGGGATTCATTGCAACTATGGAAGGCTTGAAGATCGACCCTAACAAGAAGGAAGCTATTGTATCATAGGAAGTTCCAAAGATGATTAGAGTTGTATAATTCTTTCTTGACTTTGCTAACTTCTATTAGATCTTCATTAAGAATTATTCCTAAGTTGCTACTTCGCTCACTCAGTTGACATGTAAAGATAAGCTCGAATGAAAACTTCTAGCGGAAAAAGTATTTTAAGATCTTAAGACGGCATTTACTATGGCTCTAATCTTGATACATCCGAACTTTGTAAAGGCCTTCTATTCAGAGATCGATGCTTCAGATTTTGCTATAGGAGTTGTACTTTCGCAGATAGGTGCAGACGAGAAGCTTCATCTTGTTGAGTTCTACTCTCGAAAGTTTTCTACTACCAAGATCAACTATAAGATCTATGATAAAGAGCTTCTTGCGATAGTGGATTCTTTCCAAGAGTGGCATCACTTTCTTGAAAGAGCTGCACGTTTAGTGACCATATATATAAATCACAAGAATTTGGAGTACTTTATGTCAGCTCGGATTCTGAATCATCGTCAAGGTTGATAGAATATGTTGCTATCCAGGTTTGATTTTATTATTACTTATCGGCTTAGGAAGCAACAAAGCCTATTCGATGCATTATTAAAGAGATCGTATCTAGCGCTAAAGGCTGGAGAAGCAGCGTTTGATTAACAATGTACAACATTGTTGAAGTCAAAAAAATTCAGGCTTTGCTCTGCTATAGTGCCAATTGATATTGACTTCCTCAATCAAGTACATACTATGATTATTGGAGATTTTGTAGGCCTCGATATCATGCAACATGTCAATGATGACAAATTCAAGGTAAAAGGAGATCTTTTATACTTTGAAGAGCGGTTGTATATTCCAAAAGCACCAACATGGCTCCGAGTTCTTCAATCTTAACACGACTTTCCAGTTGCGGGACATTTTAGATTCAATAAGACCTTGGAACTTATTTCTAGAGATTTTTGGTGGCCCCAAATGTGGAAGGATGTCATGGATTTTATCCTCTCCTGTGATATTTGTTCAAGATCCAAGAACTCTTGGCATCGTCCTTATGGTCTTTTTTAGCAATTATCTATTCCATATCGGCCATGGTCTTCAATTTCCATGGACTTCATTACGGACTTGCTGCCATCAAATTCATTTGTCAAAATCTTTGTTGTAGTAGATTGGCTTACAAAGATGGTACACTTTGTCCCTTGGAAGAAAACATTGTCAAGCAAAGATACAATAAGGCTCTTCCTTGATAATGTATATCGATATCATGGTTTACCAGATGATATCATGTTGGATCGAGGAACCTAATTCTTATCAAAGTTCTAGAGATCTCTCTTTGAGATATTGAAGGTAGATATCAAGCTTTCTTCGGCTTTCCATCTTCAAACTGACGGCAAAATAAAATGGATGAATCAAACTTTGGAATAGTATTTACGATGCATCATCAACTATTAGCAAGTTTATTGGACTGCATATCTATCATTAGCTAAGTTTGCATATAACAACACCTTTCATACGTCGTCTCAACAAACACCATTATTTTTCAACTATGGATATTATTCGAAGCTTGATTTTATTGAATCCTTTGACCAATAACAACCCGACAGCTGAAGGATTTGTGAAACAACTATCAGAGCTTCAAACTATATTGAAACTTCAATTGCAAACTGTCCAAGAAGCTTACAAGACATCCATAGACAAATTTTGGAATCAGGCACCTACTTTCAAAATTAGAGATAAAGTATGGCTGCTTCGATAGAATATCAAAATCAAGCGACCATGTGATAAGTTGGACTACCAGAGATTGGAACCATTTGTCATCCAGAAGCAAATCAATCCAATGGCGTACTATCTGGGATTACCGACTGCTATGAAGGTACATCCAGTCTTTCATGTTTCTTTGTTGGAGCCTTATTGAGAGTCATCTTTTTTTGGAAGAGTGCAATGTCCGCCACCTAGTATTAAAATTGAGAACTACGAGGAATACAAGGTGAAAAAGGTACTAGATTCACAATATAAGTAGGAAAAATTGGAGTACCTAGTACATTGGAATGGCTCTGATATCAATGAGCGTACATGAAAACCAGCGGAAAATCTTATCAATGCATTGCAAAAGGTACACGAGTTTCATCAATACTATCCTCAGAAACCTAAGCCCTTTCGATGAAAGTTTTTCAGTGAAGTTTCTTGTCCTTGAAGCCTCTTAATCCTCGGCCTTACAAAGAAAGGGGAGAAGGAACCTCTAAAAAGACATAATTAAAGACTATAAATCTGTACCTTGAGTCCATTCTTCCATGTTTAGTGCTTGTATTTTTTGGTGTAATATGGATAGCCAAGAAATAGATAATATACCAGTTATGTCTTTTCAATCGAGTATCTCACGAAGACGACTCCAAAATAAAGAACCGCCTGTACCACAAAGACGATGGAAGATACCTAGTAACACGTCACTAGTGATTGTGTTTGAGGTAGAACCTACCTATGGTGATCTTCTCCAAGGAATGTCTGCATGGAATTTTCACAATGAAGACATGGAAGTTCATGCCTGGTCAAAAATCGAAGGCATAGGACATTATCGTTGGTTACACTGACCAATGAACTACTTGTCGTATGAACAATAATTGGAGTATATTGCACATACTATGCGACAAATTTTTAACTTCTTATGTTAGTACTGACTTGTAATACGTGTGCTTCTCGGAGACCTTGAAGCTAAAGGGGGGATGATGTCAAGGACATACACTAGGAAGTTGTAGAAGATTCTAGAAGGTTCTAGAGAAGCTTTGTAGTTTGTAGAAGCTGCTTGAGAAGCTTCATAGATTGTGGAAGCTACTTGAGAAGCTTCTTAATTTGTAGAAGTTGCTTGAGAAGCTTTCTAGTTTGTGGAAGCTACTTGAAAAGCTTTGTAGCTTGTAGTATATATAAGAGTCGAGACTGAGGGGATCCCCAGTCTCGACAATACACCTCTTGGAGCTCTAGCTCACCTCTCTACTATTGTTCTTGTATTCATCTGATTAATCTAGTTCTTGTTGATTCTTCTTGAACTTCTTGTTTAGATTTCCAATCAATATTCTAAATTCGTAACACCATCAAAAACAATATAAAAAAAAATAAGTCATTTCTATAATAAACAATCTATCTTATTTGATTTTTATTCTATTGCAATTTGAATTCCTTTGATTATGCAATTGATGGTCTTCCAACAATGAAGCTTTCTTCAACAATGTATAGTCCTAATTGATTAACCAAAATTGCAAGAATACTTCACTAATAATAAAATCCTTAAATTCAAACCATACTCCAAGTACAATTCAATCTATGTTTTCAAGTAGGACAAGATTAATATCTAGAATCTTGTCACTTCAACCAAAAAATTTGCTTACATATGTCTATGATCTTGCCATATATCAAATCCAACATCCATGTCTTACAAATGCTTTAGAATTGATTTATATTATTCTTATTTTTCACATGAGCATATTCAAGTTTGGAATTTCTTTCTATCAATAGATCAACTAGTGTCTTTACAATTCATATTGGGAGGCACAATGCTTAGATATAGGATATATGGTGCCTCTTGCTATTCGCAATAGCTACAAAACTCAATAACAAAATATAAGATCAAAAATTGGAATGAGCTAAAAGGAGAATAAGCAACAGACCTAATAAGATGCTCCAAGTGCATATAGAATGTGAAAACTACACCTGAATTTTAACCAAAGATATATTGGAACCCAACATCTTATTGGATCTACAAACATTCCAAACTACCCTCAAAATACTAGGCTGCCCAACTTTGGGACAACTCAGTATTTTTCTGAGGCAGCTGCCCACCATCCATCCCTATCGACAGGTATGAATGACAAGTACATCAAATTAAAAAAAAAAACTCGGAGTGGGAGATGGGCACCTGTTCTGCGAAATTGGATACGGAACAGAAGGGCACAACTTCCGGAGAAAGCTATTAAGCAGGGGTAAGCTCCAAACTGACGACTAAGTATCTAAAACTACAACTTCATCTTGCTATCTGATTCGATGTACAGACACGGTCTTCCAACAGCGCAGTAATCGGCGCTGTGCAGTAGATCGAAACCATTGCAACATTCTCGACACACCGGATGCATTCTGCGAGGCTCGGAATTGAAACACCGACAAGATGACCAATGAATTGACACTACAAGTCCCCAGCAAACCGAAGTTGTCCCGCCTCGCAGCTCGTTTGCCACTTTCCTGCAATCGCCTCGTTGGATCCCTTGTCGTGCTTTCGCAAGCTTGGGTCGTTGGTAAGGAGGATGGTTTTACATTCCTTGGGAGGCGATCTGAGCAAGTGTATGAAGACTAGGATCTAAATGAAGAAGGTACACATCGTGGAGGAATGCAACAATATTTGGGTGTCGTTGGATTTGTTTCCAAGCAGAATTTGTTCTCGAATTCAAAGAACGACAGACACATACACTTTGACCCTTATCTAGCTTTGATAGTGGGGTCGAGACTCTGAATTTAGTCGAAAGGCGACTCGACTTGTGCCTCTCTCCATGGAGCACCGGGAAAGTGTTCTGGGTTCTTTTGAAGACGACTAGGGGTTGACGCCAAAGGAACGGCGCTTCGAAGGACAGCTCTCGTTTCTCGAAAGTAGAAATTAAGCTTCTGGATGAGTCTGACTGACAAATCTCAATCTGCGTTCACCACTTGGCGGAGTTACAGCGAATCCGGAACCACGTGGCCAGCTGCAGCGGCGACTCCTAGGTGCAAATTTTATCGTGTTCGTCACCATGTGCTACAAAGGGGTCCAACATTCCTCCTCGTTCCCACCATTCGCTATTCTGACTGCAAGCATCACAACAAACCCGTGTTGTCGTCATTGCACTTGTTGCAGTTTCTCGTTTTGACAGCGTTCTTTTCTTTTTCCCTTTCTCGGTTCCCAATCTTCTTCATCAGCATGTCGACCTATGATGATACCAAGGCTGCTGCAGCTCAGAAGAGTGAGGAAACCAAGGGCGCCGCTCAAGTACGTTCAGTTGTTCTAGGAGGTTCAGAATTCCCACTTCATGCTACAGTTCTCTTGTTGCACCATCAGTTGTTGTAACTTATGCTCGCCTAAGGTCTGGTTTGCCTGGCCATTGACAGGATTTTACCGGAGCAGCTCAGCAGAAGGCTGGCGAAGCTGGCGGATTCGCCCAAGACAAGGGGATCCAAGCCAAAGACGGCGTCAGCCGCATGGTGACGCAGGTGCGTCGTCCCTTTCATAGTTTTCTCTGAACCATTTGTTGCACTTCGCAAGATTTAGTGCCAAACCCAAATTCGACTCTCATACCGAAAACGGTTTCAAATTTGTGCACAGGCTGGGGATGCAATTGGCAATGCAGCTCAGTCGGTGGCAGATACCGTTAATCCAAACAAGTCGGATTGAGCCCTTGCATCGCTGCATCGTCCAAGTTGATTTTGTACAGCTCAGTGCAATTTGGGCGCCATTCGGAAGTCATTGATTGTTAATCTTGCAGCAGTTACTACACGCATAATCTGGCTTAGAGAAAGTATTGTAATTTGTAAAGACGTAATTTACACTGAATAGCATTTCGATCTTTCTCTTCCAGTGTATGTTCACCTCTGCAATCAACCGTTTGTTACAAGTTAAAGGAGTTGAATACGAAAATCACAGCAAATATTCGAACTGATGTTATGTGGAGTAGATAGCAACAGTGACCAAAAGTAGGTTTCATATTGTTCTTCTCATCAGCATAATGTTTCATTCAAAACTATGTAGGAAAATAAGTAAATCAGCAACCTATTAGCATGTTCAAACTGCACTGGAACTGCTATGCACTGTAAAGCCACGTATAGTGTTTGAAAATATTCTGAAGAATACTAAAACATTGACTATAAGTGTGCGGCTTTGGGATTCTTTTTGAGATTCCTTACCAAACTCTAATCAAATCTAAAGTCCTAAACAAATCCTAATCAAACTTTCATCAAATCCTAATGCACAATAGAACCTTAATAACTAAAAATTTAATAGTCAAATTCAATTAAAAATTTGCATACTTTTTTATCTATTAATTAAAAAACAATTATAATAGTTTTGAAGAGGATAAAATATATCAAATGGGAGATAATCCTCATAATCATCTTAGCTGTTGGCTAACTTCTTTTTCTAATCTTGATACCAATTTCCTTGTACTAATATCTTGTGATGCCACTATTCAATTATTCTCAAAATTTTCTTAATTATGGAGAACAAAGTTTGTTACTATGGTGCAAAATATTATCTTATTCTAACAAACAAATTATTGCAAATCTTAAAAATCCTCATTGATCCTCCAAATTCCAATTCTAAGACTGTAAAATGCTTTAATTTCAATAATCTTCAAATAAATTGTTTGATAAAGTTGAAACTTACAACACATACTCAAAACAACTATGGTCACACAACAACAAAATTTCATTAGTAGATCCACTACCAATCTCACATAAGTCTTTGAAATATAAATCCTTTATATTTTTCAAAAAAACAAAATTACCTTTGAACAATCTTGGCTTTGCAAAGTATTTATAAAGTCAATACAAACTCAAATTATTCAAAATTGACACTTAAAGAATCTCTTTTTAGTCCAACCATAAATTTTTTGCTTCTATTAATTAAAGAACTCCGGAATTGCTATAAGTATATGGTTTTGTACCTTGGAATCTGATGTCAATCCTAGTTCACAATCCATCCTCTCTAGATATCAATTTCTAAGTCTTTAAGGTAATTTTTGCTACAAACTACTCTTAATTCTTTATTTAAGATGTCTATATCAATTATTTTTTAATTTACTTTATTTTTCTTTATTTATGGCCTTAAAAATTAAATAGAAGCCTATTTTGTAAAAGTTAGCATTAACACTTATCAATTTTTCTATATCCTTGACTAAAATCTATATTTCTAATGTAATTTGCTACAATATTTTCAATAAACCTCTTCTATAAAATAATTTTTTTTTTTCTTTCAGCTAATAGCTATGTTACAACAAGACATCTACTTCTTTTAAATCTATCCACTCTCTAGTATGTATCAATGATTTTTCAATATAGCAATATTAAATGTTATTCATCTTGATCAAATTCTTGATATTTAATTTGCTCCTCTACTCCCATTTCTATAGCTCTTAATGAATTTTGTTCTTTATCAAAATAAATATATGAGCTCTCAATTATGCTCTAAAATATAAATTTTTGTTATTTTCCTATTTTATGATAATTGAGCATATTAGATTAGGATTTATATAAAAAAAATTAGTTTTATAGAATTTTTAGGATTACAACCTTTGATGATATAAATTATAGCCTAATTCCTTGAATTAGGTTAATTAGGACTAAAGTGATAAGTATTAGAAAATTAAAATAGCAACTTAGTTAGTTTTAATAATTTAGAGGTTATTAGTTATTATTATGAGGATTGACTTAAAGCCTATGAGTGCACCTATAATCATTTCACATGATTTAGAAGGAGTTAGAATTATAATTCTCTAAAAGATTTAGTGAAGTTTAGCAATAATAGTTTTGAGCTTTCCTCCAAATTTGACAAATTCAAGTGGCATGGTGGTTCTTCTAATTAATGGGAGTCTTTTTAATGCAATGGTGGCACCGGATTTATGCTACAAAGTGAAGAAAACAAGATTAGCATACTCTTCTTCAAAATACAAGTGAAGCAATGAAATTCTCATTTTGAAGAATTTTATAAAAAGATTACCAAGATTCTTGTAAGTAAAAACTTCTATGAAAATTATAATTGAGCATAGATTGAGGCATGTGAGTAGTCAATCTTAGATTAGAAAGGTGTTTTGAATACAATGGTGAAGTTAGATTCACCAAAAAATGCTTTCTTGACCACTTACAAGAGCCATCAGCCTTGGTCACGAGATTGGCTCTTGGATCAATGAAGGCTATAGATCTAAATTAAGGATCTTAGAAATCAAGCAACCATCCTTTTATAAGCCTCCACTCAATTGTATAAGAAAGACTTGGTTTTCCAAGCCCTCCCTCTCTCCTCTTGGGTGAAGGGCAAAGCCATGCCAAATTTTGCATCCTAAATAGATTATATTGAAATTCTAGAAGTATCTGCATCTTTAAGCTAAGCTTTTAATGGCATAAATTTCACATAATTCGAAGGAAAATTGAATTTTTGATTAATCTTCAAGTAAAGGAAGGTTGTCTACACTAGTAGTCTTAGTCAGTCAATTTTGAAGGAGCATTTCTTGCAACTTAGGTACTGGATTGAATTTAAATTTATTAGAACAAGAGCGCCTTTAAGTTAAATTTTCAATAAACTTAAAATCATTCAATTTAGAGTTAATCACAAATTTTGGCAAATTTTGGCAAATTTTGGAGTAGAAAGGGATTTGCTACCTTCAAATCTTTTGCATTGTCAAGATACTTTGCTTTTATCTCTCTTTAGCCACTTTTACTTTTATCTTTACAATAATTTGTAACTTCCATTTTTCAACTTTTAGATTTTAATTTTTAACCTTCAACCTTTAATCTTCTTTCTTTTACTTTTAATTTTTATATTTTTTTACTTTACTTTTAATTTTAATTTTTTACTTTTATTTTTTACTTTTAACTTTTATTGTTAACTTTTAACTTCCAACTTCTATCTTTTATTTTTAAGTCAACCTTTAAAGATTTTTTTTACATTTATTATAAATTAATAATAATAATTTGATCAATTTTTTTACCATCAATTACTTAAGAGATAATAATTTGTAAGTTTCAACTAATTTATTATTTATCTACTTTGATTAATCATATTTTTGTAATCACATAAAAAAATTAGTAATTATAGATTATATAAATGAACTTGAAGAGTCCATTGAGATCTAAGTGGATTTCATATAAATAGCTTTGAAGATCATGGTAATCTTATTAAATCTTTTTTTCTTTTATTTTGGTAACCATTGCTTGGAAGGCTTAAAATTAATTAAATTTTTAATACAAATATTTAAATAAATTTAATAATTTTGAGGATTTCTGCAATAATTCAAGCTCTATCTAAGGTTGCATCCCTTCCAATATCCTGATCGATTTACTCAAGTTAGATTCATTGATGCACTTCTATCAAGAAATGTTATCTCTTAGTTTGTAACTTTAATTGGAAAGGATTTGCAACTTCTTTATGATTTGAATTCATTCCTATAAATATTTATGCCCACATTCGGAGAAAGTGATTAAGAAGAAATAGTAAAAACTAAGCTTTTATCTTTACAATAAGGATCTCAATCAGCCACTATATATGTTGCTAAATTCTAAAACCTTGCTTGTGATGTGGACTGGAATGAAAAAGTCCTTATCAATCAATTTTAATATGGATTGAAGGATAATATCAAAGATTTATTACTAACAATGCTAAAGGCAAAAAAATTGAAATAATTTATTATTCAAGCCATTGCATATAACAATGGATTATTTGAAAGATGTCAAGAATAAAGATTTGACTAAAAAAGAATAAATCAAATAATGAAGGCAGCTCTAAAGTTTTTAGAAACTTATTCATCGAGGCCAAAATTAATGCAAATTCATAGGATATATTTTAAATTCCTCACAAAAAAGAAAAAGACTCAACAACATCAAAAAGGCTTATATTTATAATATAGAGAAGCTAAATACACTACTTAAAATTGTCCAAAAAATAATGCAATCACAAAATGAGAAGTATAATTGCTAATAAAGATGAGATATCAATAAACAAGTTTTTCCAGTTACAATAGAGATTGTACAGCTAAAATCTTGCATAATTCTTGATAAAGGTTCTATTTTCTTCAAAGATCCTTCACCTTATTTTACAATAGAAGTTTATTTAGGACCAAAAAATCACAAAGTCTTAGCTTTCTTATATTCATGAGCCTTAGCCTATTTTATAAACGAAGATTTTGTTAAAAAATAAGAGATATTGATAGTCAAAAAAACTAAACTTGTCTATGTAGAAGTCATAGGTGATCATTTATTATCTTTTGGAGATATTGCACATGACACTGTTCTTTTAGATGTAGCAATTAAAGATCATAATAGCATAGTAATATTTAATATAATAAGATCTCCATTTAATCTAATTATTTTAGGATTATTTTAGTTAGAAAAATATATCCCTTAGATAAATTGGATTTTTCATAACCTTAATTTTTTTGATGGTTTAATCCAAAATCCCATTAATCAAGTAGAAATATATAAGTTGAGTACATCCAAACCTTTACTAGTAGGTGCAAAGGCTTTTATGCATGCCACAAAAAAAAGATTATCTTTTATTTTATATGCCAAAGCCATTTTTAATGGTGAGAAGACATCAAGTGGTATTCTTTGCCAATATCAAGATTTTCAAGATGTTTTTCAAAAGAAAAATATAAATATTCTTCTAGAGTATTATCTTTATGATTGTTCTATCAATCTTCACAAAGGAGCTCAACTATCATTTGAACCAATGTACAGCCTATTATAAAATGAGTTGGTTGTACTTAAGGAATATTTCGTCTATTAAAGTTTAAACTTAAATTTAAATTTTAAAATATACATATTATTTTATTAAATTAAATATTAAATATTAAATATTATTATTATTTTATCTTAAGATTTATAAGCATTTAAAGAAAAAAACTAGATATTATATCTATTAATAAAATCTAAGAAAATTTTAGGTTTTTATTTAAATAAGAAATATTATCTAATATTAATTTAATTTAAATTATTTCAATATATTTTATAAGTAATTAAAAATATTTGAGATATTTTAATTTTAAAAAATATGTCAATAATAAAATTTTAATAAATGTCATTTCTAAAATAGTAAAAGATTTTTTAATAAAATTTTAAAAGA